TCCTTGTATCCTGTTCTCTTCATTCTCCCTTGCTCCCGAAGGGATGAGACCAGTGGAGTATCTTAGATGGCTGCTCACAGGCTTTTAAGACCCCAGACTCTACTCACCAAGATAGAATGTAGAACATTTTCTTTATAAACTATGTTATGTCAGTTGAGCTAGATGTTCCCCAAGACCCTGGTCCCCACAGCCCTCAGCCCAGCAATTAGGTCCCTCAGGGAGTTTGTATGTGTCTATGGAGCTTCCATGACCTTACCTTGGACAAGTTGTGCAGGCTTCCCTAGTATTGTGTACTGTCTTACCCTTCACCAAAGTTATCACTTACCTATTGTCTATTTAGTGTTTTTCTATCAACAGCCTTCCCCTCCCTCGTAGCCATCAAAGATTATTTCTTTTTGGTGTAAACCTTTTGTGTGTAAACTCCATTAAGAAGTTTTTATAGTAGTGATCTCATACAATATTTGTCCTTTTGTGATTGACTTATTTCACTCAGCATAATGCCCTCCAGATTCATCCACGTTTTGAGATACTTCCCAGATTCATCATTGTTCTTTATAGCTGTGTATTACTCCATTGTGTTTACCTACCACAGTTTGTTTATCCATTCATGTATTGATGGGCATCTAGGCTGTTTCCATCTTTTTGCTATTGTGAACAATGCTGCAATGAACATGGGCGTACATATGTGTATTCGTGTGATGGCTCTTATGTCTCTAGGATATATTCCTAGGAGTGGGATTGCTGGATCATATGGTATTTCTATTTCTAGCTTTCTAAGGAAGTGCCATGTTGTTTTCCATAGTGGTTGTACCATTTTACATTCCCACCAGCAGTGCATAAGAGTTCCAGCCTCTCCACAGCCTCTCCAACATTTGTTATTTTCTGTTTTTTTGATTTTGTGCCAGTAATGGTGGGGTGAGATGATATCTCATTGTGGTTTTGATTTGCATTTCTCTAATGGCTAGTGATTGTGAGCATTTCCTCATGTGTCTGTTAGTCACTTGAATGTCTTCTTTGGTGAAGTGTCTGTTCATTTTCTTTGCCCATTTTTTAATTGGATTATTTGCTTTTTTGTTGTAGAGGTGTTGGATTTTCCTGCAGATTTTGGAGATTAGATCTTTGTTGGATTTGTCATAGCCAAAAAATTTTTCCCAGTCTGTAGGTTCTCTTTTTACTCTTTTGGTGAAGTCTTTTGATGAGCATAAGTGTTTAATTTTTAGAAGATCCTAGTTATCTAGCTTATCTTCTGGAGTTTGTGTGTCACGGTTTGTAACCTGTTAACGCAGTGTATTAGGGCTTCTAGCGTTGACTGTATTTTTTCTTCTATGATCTTTATAGTTTTTGGTTTTATATATAGATCTTTGATCCATTTTGAATTGGTTTTTGTGTATGGTGTGAGGTATGGGTCTTGTTTCATTGTTTTGCAGATGGACATCCAGTTTTGCCAGCACCATTTGTTAAAAAGACCGTCTTTTCCCCATTTGATGGACTGTGGGCCCTTGTCAAAGATCAGGTGATGGATTTACATCTGGGTTCTCAATTCTGTTCCATTGATCAGTGTATCAGTACCAGGCTGTTTTAACTACTGTAGCTGTATAGTAGGTTCTGAGGTCAGGTAGTGAGAGTCCTCCTACTTTCTTCTTCTTCTTCAATAGTGGTTTACTTATTTGGTGCCTCTTCCCTTTCCATATAGAGTTAATGATTAGTTTTTCCATCTCTTTAAAGAATGCTGTTGGTATTTGGATCAAGATTGCATTGTATTTGTAGATTGCTTTGGGTAGAATTGACATTTTCACAATGTTGAGTCTGCCTATCTATGAGCATGGTATGTTTTTCCATTTATGTAGATCTCTTTTGGTTTCTTACAATAGTATTTTGTAGTTTTCTTTGTATAGGTCTTTTACATCCCTGGTTAGATTTATTCCTATTTTATTTTGGGGGGGACTATTATAAATGGTATTGTTTTCCTGATTTCCTTTTCATCATTCTCTTTGTTGGTGTATAGGAATCCAACTGATTTTTGTATGTTTATTTTGTATCCTGCTACTCTGCTGAATCTATTAGTTCCGGTAATTTTCTCATGGAGTCTTTTGGGTTTTCTGTGTATAGTATATCATCTGCAAATAGGGACAATTTTACTTCTTCATCACCAATTTGGATGCCCTTTATTTGTTTTTTTTTTTTTTTCGCCTTATTGCTCTAGCTAGGACTTCCAGCACAATGTTAAATGGGAGTGGTCATATAGGGCATCCTTGTCTTGTTCCTGTTCTCAAGGGGAATGTTTGCAACCTGTCTCCATTAAGAATGATGTTGGCTGTTGGTTTTGTATAGATGCCTTTTATTATGCTGAGGAATTTCCCTTCTATACCTATTTTATTGAGAGTCTTTATCAGGAATTGGTGTTGGAATTTGTCAAATGCCTTTTCTGCATCGATTGACATGATCATGTGATTCTTTTCTTTTACTTATGTAGTGGATTAATTGATTGATTTTCCAATGTTGAACCATCCTTGCATACCTGATATGAATCCCATTTGGTTGTAGTAGATTACTTTTTTGATATGATGCTAAATTCTGTTGGCTAGAATTTTGTTGAGAATTTTTGCATCTATATTTGTCATGGATTCAATTGTGTCCCCCCAAAAAATGTGGGTAGCATCTTGGCTGGGTCATGATTCCCAGTACTGTATGATTGTGTTATCTGATGTGATTTCCTTGTATGTTGTAAACGCTACCACTATGATGAGATTATATGTGATCTCCTCATGTGTTATAAATTCTATCACTGTGATGAGGTTATACTGATGAGGTTGACAAGATTAGTGTCTTAACGCAATCTCTTTTGAGATATAAAAGAGAGAAGCGAGCAGAGGCACGGGAACCTCATACCGCCAAGGGGGCAGTGCTGGGAGCAGAGTGCATCCTTTGGACCTGAGGTTCCTGCGCAGAGAAGCTCCCAGACCAGGGGAAGACTGGTGACATGGACTTTTCTCCAGAGCCAATGGAGAAGGCATTCCTCTGAGGCTGATGCCCTGAATTTGGACTTGTAGCCTACTGGACTGTGAGAGAATAAATTTCTCTTTGTGGGGCCATCCACTTGTTGTATTTCTGTTGGAGCAGCACTAGATGACTGAGACAATATTCATAAGAGATACTGGCCTGTCATTTTCTTTTTTTTTTTTTTTGTGGTGTTTTTGCCTGGTTTTGGTATCAGTGTTATGCTGGCTTCATAGAATGAATTCTGAAGTATCCCTTCCTTTTCTATGTTTCAAAATAGTTTGAGTAGTACTAGTGTAAGCTCTTCCCTGAAAGTTTGGTAGAATTCTCCAGTGAAGCCATCTGGGCCAGGGCTTTTTTTGTTAAGAGTTTTTTAAATTACCTTTTCAAGCTCTTCTCTTGTTATAGATCTGTTCAGATTTTCAAGATCAGTTTGTGTTAGTTTGGGTAGTTAATGTGTTTCTAGAAATTTGTCCATTTTCTCTAGGCTTTCAAATTCGTTGGAGTATAGTTTTTCATAGTACTCTGTTATG